TTTAAAAGTTCAGTATATGTGCTTAATTTCTGAAGCTTTAACATGCTCTACCTATAGAGATAGATATAGATGATCTATCTATCTATATCTCTATCTATCTATCTATCTATCCATCTATCTGGAACTTTCCTAAGTTTATTCAGGCATCCCTTGTAGAATACACAATAAATTTTAGTATCTTCAGAGCAGAGACAATATTGGGTCTACTTTAACCTGTACTTTATTTAGCATCCCTAAGCACACTTGGAACATTTATAAATAATTTTCTTAAGGATAATGTTCCCCCCAGATATGGGGATACCCCAAGACCTGGCCTGAGCCCTGGTCTGGAGAGAAATATCTAAGGTCACTCACTACACTGGGTAAGGGAGGGTTATTTATTCAAGAAATATGACAGGCAATGTCTTGTGAAATGGTCTAATTAAAAATATGTCCCTCTCCACTGTCAAAATATTGGTTTTAATCAAGGCAAATTAGTTCTGAAGTGGAAACAACATGGAAGAAGCTAAATCAAATCCCATTTTAATAGCTTTACTAAAAGCAATGGTAGGTTATATTGTAAGTGCATTTGGTAAGCCCTGCAGGCTGGGCTGAGTAAGAGAATATGGGCTTGAAGCCTAAAGGAAAGAAATTAGACAACAAGGGCCCATCAAAGCAGATGTTTCAGCCTCCAGCTGCTCCTTGAGCCAGGAGTACCCATTTGTTAGACTTCTCACAGGGCCTCTGTGACCATTTGCCTAGGGAAAGAACAGGTGTGCATAACCACCTACATTCTACTTTTCTCTGCTTTTCTCCTTCCTGCCTTGAAGCCCTGACTCTACAATGAATCATCTACAAAGCAAAGGAGCAAATCATTCTTAAGTTCATTAACACATACACATATCCAAATAACTCTGAGTGATGATTTTTTTTTTGCTAGCAGATATGGAAATTTAAATAGGCAAACTCTTGCTAGGAATAGTGGCATATATCTATGATCTCAGCAACTTGGGAGGTGTAAATAGGAAGATCTCTGTCCAGGCTAGCCTGAGTAGGAACTCAAGACCCTATATGAAATATAACTAAAGCAAAAAGGCCTGGAGATATAATTCAAGTGGTAGAATGCTTGTATAGTAAGTGTGAGGCCCTGAGTTCAAACTCCTATACTAAAAAGAGTTGAATTGAACTTCAGCAAAAAGTACTTTTTTCAGACTAAATATAAGTGCTTTTTTATATAACTTTTCTATGACTGAATCAAATCTTAATTCCAAACACTATCAATGCAAATTTTTTTCTTCCTTCTAATTAGAGAATAATTGCCACTAAATATATCTCTATAGGAGCTAAGTGGAAGAAACTTACAACTGCTCTGTTCAATGCAGTAGTCATTGAACCTGTTTAATTAATTTAAATTAATTAAAGCTAAATAAAATTTAAAATTGAGTCCCTCAACTGCACTAGCCTTATTTCAAGTGCTCAATAGCCACATAGGACTTATGGCTAAGTATTGGATTTACAGATTATTCCCATCACTGGAGAAAGTTCTACTGGACAGTGCTGATCTAGAGGGGGTTATTTATAAATACTATGGAAACTGCTCATTTCTTACTTGGTAAAAGTTCTGAGTCCTACCTACTAGAACTGGCTTGACTCAGAATAGTGTGGGATTGAATTTGACAGTAAATACCAAAGATTCCATTATTATCTTAAAATATCATTCCAACTGACCTAAAATCTCTTTGTGTTAAGATTTTCTATTACCACTAATGATTTTTCCCCAAATCCAGACATATCAGAAGATATTTGGACTGGGTACCAGTGGCTCATTCCTATAATTCTAGCTACTCAGAAGGCTGAGATTGGAGGGTCACAGTTTAAAGCCACCTTGGGCAGAAAAATCCATGACACTCTTGGTGCTGGGAAGGTGGCTCAGTGGTAGAGCACTTGCCTTGCACGCATGAGGCCCTGGGTTTGATTCCTCAGTACCACATAAGCCAAAAAGAAAAAAATCCGGAAGTGGTGCTGTGGCTCAAGTGGTAGAGCGCTAGCCTTGAGCTGAAGAGCTGAGGGACAGCGTTCAGGCCCCATGACCGGACCCCCAAAAAAAAGAAAAAAAGAAAAAGAAAAATCCATGAGACTCTTATTCCCAATTAACCAGCAAAAAGTCAGAAGTGAAGGCAGGGCTCAAATGGTAGAACATCAGCTGAGAGGGAGAATGAAAGGCCTGGAGTTCAAGTCCCAGTATTGGCACAAAAAATATAAAATATTTGATTATAACAATAACTTGTTCAAGTTCCAATAATTTGTGAACTTGATTAAAAGTGATTAGACTAATTTTAAAAAACAAAAATTTGGGATAAAAGTTTTATACACATACCCACACATATGTAGGGAAATACTTCTGTTTTAGTTAGAATAAGGAAAGTACTTACTGCACATTAAGGATCTAGTTCTTTCATCAAGTTGGAGCCAGATTCAATAACAGACTTTGTAGCATGTTTGGAGAACTCTGGCTCACATTCTTTGGACCTCACAAAAACCACTCAGTGAGTATTGGTTCTTAGTGCTGCAGAGTCTTCTTAAGAAGAGGAAGATGGACAGGTAATAGATTATCTTATTTGTCTTGCTTAATTGGCTACTGAACGGATACCCAAATGGCCAGATTACAGTGACAGAAATAGCTAAGATTATGAGGCCAACTAGCCTTTCCCCTCTCATAAACACCAAGCTGCCTGTTCATCTAACTGCTTCACCACAGAGGTGTGGACCACAATAGGAACCAAGAGAGGAAAGCAAAGTACCTGCCTCTTGACCATCATAAAGCAGGCAAAGTGAATGTGCATGTGTATGCACATATGTGTGCATCCACAACACATATCCACACACACCCACACACACCACTGCAAAGTCATGTAAGCAGGATTGTAGTAATTCTACAATAAAGAATGATCATATTCATGGGAGAAAATCCATAGAATGGCTATCTCCCTTCCAAAGCATCTTGTGTGAACGTCATTTGAGGAGAAACACAAAAATTGAGCAGTTACTATCAAGACACCATACTGCCAATCGCACCAACCCAAAGAAGAATGCAGATAATGGCCAATTACCACAAACATGCATTTTTCAAATATTTTCATATGTCTGCTCCAAGTCATAAGATCTGTCAGTCAATATTGCCAGCAAAATTTCTTCATCCTTTTATTTACTATGTCCAGCTTGAGAGCTTCCAACATGGGGTGTTTGCAAAAAAATTATTAAATAATGTATATATAAAGGACACATCATTAAAATTCCTACCCTCACATTTCCTGTTCATTAGAAGATAGATCGGGTTAATCTTGGAAACATGGTGTCTCCAGGAAACAGGAAAGGAAAAGTTGAGGATTTAATTCTTGAAAAGTTGAGAATGTAATATTCTTTGATCTGAAATATCACATATACAAGCCTAACAATTTTTCCTTGAACTATAAAGTTTAAGTAGGTCAGCTTATTACCAGCTACTGTGGAGTTTATACATCCACATTCCCCTACCCTTTTGATGAACTGCGGCTCAGAAAGGAGGTACAGCCCTGCATTATTAAACCCTGTCTTCCATTCAAGCAGAGAACTGAGGAAACAGACACTAATCGTGCCCTTGAGGCTTTGTTATCACAAGAGATCCCAAGAACCCTACTGTTCCTGTTAAGGTAGCACTCGGTTCTCTAGCAGGATGCAGGTAGAAGTCAGAGCAGAATCTCTGCCTTCCCTTCCACCCGGTCTAACGTTCTCACGTTCAAGTCACAAACCCTGGCTCAACCGACAAAGATCTGACCGGCAGAAACCTAACCAAAACGACCAGTGAAGTGCTGGGGAATAAAACAAAGTGCTTTAAAAAGAAAATGATAGAGGTAAACGGAAAGGGAAGAGGAAGGAGAAAAGGAATAGGAAATGAAAATGGGGACAGCCCCCATTCTCGTCTTGATTCATCTGAAGGAGGGGAACACCCCTCAACCAGGGGTCTCTCCATCATCCCCAAAGCTGATGACTTTTTAAATGACCACAGATGACCGAAGAGAAACCCACCCAGCGCGGCCTCCCGGGGAGAAGCTGGAGCCCCCTCTTTCTTCCCCGGAGTGCGCACCCCAGAAAGCGGACCGAGCCCGTGCGTGCGTCCGAGCAGAGCGGCGAGCGGAGCAACTTCGTGCCTCCTCGCCGGCTTCTCCCCGCCGCTGCCCGGCCCGGGGAGCGAGCCCTGGAGGTCAAACGCGGGGTGGCGTCTCCCAGAGTCCACCCGGGTCCGAGGGATGCGGCGGCGGCGGGCGGGGACACCTGTCAAAGGGCCGGGCGGGGGCCGCGGCA